TCGACCTTTATTTACATAATCGTTTTATTTAGTAACAATAATTATAAAATTGTTTTACCTTTATGTCGTAATACAGAAGAAAATGTTTTTTGTTGATGTGAATCATTTTTGGGTTTTATTGAATTTAATATCTGTTCAAAACATAAGATAAGCCAAAAAAGTAACTCGAAGATATCCCCACATACACACTTCCGACAAAAACCTGCTCAATATATTAATTTGTCTAAACAAAAGTAAACCTAGAGAGTGCCTGAAACTATGGGTAAATATCATCATCTAAACAAATTTTCAATAAATTATATTCATTTATCACTTCAATAAAGCGAGGATCGTGATTAGGATTTTAGCATTTATTGTTCTAAAATGCCTAGTAGTATGTGTCAACAAGAGGCTTGGCATTTTTCTAGCAAGTTGTACATACTGAAGTAAAGTCAAAAGAACCAGAAGCTTTAGAGAAATTGAAAGATTTGACAGCGATCAACTTCATCCTTGAGTACTCAATATTTATTAGTTTAGATGATGATATCAATCCATTACGTTAATTTATCAGGAGTAGTAAGAATTTGTATCAAGATCTTATAACGTGATTTGGTTATAGACTTAGACTTAAGATTTATATTACACGATGAATTAATTAATATTAATATGATGATTATTATAATACAAGTGTTTCATTACGTGTCGTTTGAGTTTAAGTGTATTAGAGCATTCAACTCACCAAGATTTGTTGTGTACTTTTCATTCTTTTATTTTACTCTCAACATATTTTATAATTAATTAATAATATATAGGAAAAATGCCAGTTTCAATTTTTGTGTATGAATAAACATTGTTTAACTGTAGTATAAATCATGTGGTTCAAATGAAATACGTATTAAAATCAAATCAATTTGTTTCTTGACTTAATTATAATAAAAAATGTAAAAGTAATATTTAGTAGGTGTGTATAACGACCGCCTGTTTTGTAAATCAATACTTGCAAGGAATTTGCTTTGAGTGAATACCTAATACAATTCTGCATTACTGAAATATTAAAAAATTGTTTATTGCAGCCTCTATAATTAAATACAGTACTTTAAAACCTTAAATCAATTTGGAATATACGGTAAATATTTCTTTTATTTAATAAAATGGTTTCCTCTTTACAGATAAATCAAGAGATTTCTGATTTATTTACTTTTATCTGACACAGCAAACCTTTTGACATACAAGGTTTTAAATTAATTTTGTAGATTTTTAATTAAAAAAAGTTTATGATAGCCTACGAAACATGATCAGATCACGTTGGTTCAGACATCTCTTAATCTGATCATAATCAGTGTATATTATCATGATATCTGGATTGCGGCCAAATTGCTTACATACTTCACTGCAGTCGTCGGTACGTTTAAACTGAAGTAACTTCAGTACATAAAATTAAGTAACATTAATATAAGGATATAACCATAAACGTTCCAATTTGATGTAAGCTATAATGGGCTTTAGCTTCCAATCTTATATTGGAACTGACGCTATTATTTTGTTTAGAATAACATATTTCAACTTTTTACGATCTAAATTTGTATAACATGGTATTTATTTTGTTACATACCATACCGCATAAGTTAAAAAAAAAAAATATTTGCAATAATCCGACTTTTGTTATGTTTCCGAGGGATTTATAAATCGAGCATTTTTACTACATATCTTTAAAAAAGCTTAATTATTTTACTTTTCAATGTCTGGCATAGTAATCGTGTGGCTTGCCTGGCCAATATTAAAACCTTTCATAAATTTTGTGGCACTAAAAAAATAAGCGAGTTTTTAAATAAACAGTTAAAAAGTTATTTTCTTTTTTTCCTTGAGTGAAGATTTGATATTTCTGTTACATTACTGCATGTTTGGAAAAGGGTCTTGGATAAAAATTTAGCATTAAATACAGCATACAAAACTAATATGATTATCAAAGCATCAGGGACTAAAAAATGTAATATCAAATACAGTATATGTTTCATTGCATCTCTGATTCTACTCTACAAAAATATAAACAGCATACAAAACTAATATGATTATCAAAGCATCAGGGACTAAAAAATGTAATATCAAATACAGTATATGTTTCATTGCATCTCTGATTCTACTCTACAAAAATATAAACAAACAACTTAATACACAAACCAGTTCTTTTTATCAGTTCCATTGTCCATTGCCTTTACATTTTCACACTTAAGTAAACATAGTAACAGATATTTAATTGATTTTAGAAACATAAGAGAACACTGTGTACTGCTTAGTTTTATGATATTTTCCTTGGCTTAATTTTATAAGTGATGTGGCAAAACACAAATAATAAATGTATAAAATAATGTAAATGTGAACTGAAATGTAAGATAAAATAAGAGTATTTTGTATTAGCATTTGATAATTATATATAGGTACACATATACAACAGATTTTAGAAAATCAACGATGTGCAATTTAGTTATTGATGATATTCTTTAGTTTGATTTAATTAAGCATAGGTTTAGCAAAACACAATAACTTAATTTACCTAAATATACATACAAAAAAACAATGTGATGTGCAAGTTATGGTTAATCTAACACATGTTAAGCAGTTAGAATTTATTTAAAGTAGCCTCAAAATTCATACAAAACATCTATACATTGTAATTTTCATACTGTTTCCATGAAAACATATCAATAACATTATTTTCATAACTTAGACGCTTTAAAAAATCCAAAGCAGACCTGGAGTTGATACAGCAACGGTTATAGAATCTTTTTTCCTATAATCATTGACATATTTTTAGAATAAATAATCTATGATAAAAGGTTAGATTAAAATAAACCTACCTTATGGAAAATATATTAAATTTCTTTGTAGGTCTATCAGCTGTCTGAAATTGCGAAATATGCAGTTTAGCAGTTCTTCTTGTTTACATTTAAATGTCAAAGCAAATGTAAACAAACATTGTTAGTGACCTCATCGCAGCCATGGAGACCAATCAATATTTACTTTTAAAGTGTTCACCTCAGAACTTTTAAAGCCAAAGGGGCAAAGCCTACGGTCAGTATTGAAATGTGAATAGTACTATAATGGTCATTGGTATGGTAACTTATTATTGTAAAATTTAAGCCCAGTTGGTTTAGTAGTTTTTGCACCTATTAGTAACACACATACAGAGAGACACCATTAGATTTTTATATGATAGTATAGATGAAACAGTTCAAATCACGACTTAATATGGTTTACAAGTGTTTTTGTAAAAGATTACTTTTGTAGAACAGTGATTTAAAATGCATTTTCAAGTAGATGAAATAGTAGTTTTTTTTCAAGTTAAACCACCTTACACTTTGAAAATGATTATCTCCATTATAATTTGTTGAAGATATATTTCAACCTATTGTTACAGGTAAAATCTGGCAATTTCTTTATTGTAATTGACTTTGTAACTGACACACTATTTCAAACAGAACCTGCGCTTTTTTTTTAAAAGGTAACAAAACCCCTAATAGCACAGTGCCTCATTATGATATTGCAAGCCGGTATTTAAATGGGATTCTACAAACTGCATGAGTATTATAGATCATGTTAACACCTTGTTGTTTTCAAATGACTAGTAAAATATATCAGATAGAGGCTCAACGTTCTTCTAACAGGTTATTTTTTATGAGGCACAGTCTTGTGATAGTTAAGTCAAATGAATCAGGAGCCTCAGAGAAATTAATAAGTTTGACACTCATCAACCGCATACTTGAGTGGCAGAGCTTAATGAGAAAATATGGGGGAAATTATTAACTCGTTCAATATGTTTCCTGAAATGCACTTACTAAATGTAAAAATGGTGTAGGCCCATGATGTGCCATTCAGTCTGATCAATGGTTTATTTTAAATATCATTTGTGCAGTTATATATTTAACTATTTGACATTTTATGGAAACTAGGAAGCTTTTAAATATTTTATAAGCTATTTTTAAACAATTCATCACAGTTAGAATCTACTACTTTAATTGCTTAACCTCCCTTGATTTCGTTTAGTGTGATTAATTTCTTATTGTAGTTACTTTTAATGATGGCAAGATAAGGCATAATTTGCTTTTGAAACCCTTTATACGAAGTAATCCTCTCTCAATAGGAAGGTGATATTGTACTAAAACAATGCAACATGTTAACTACTTTGCAAATGTTGCTTACGGAAAACAATTGAATAATTTTGGATTGTTTAGTGGTGAAATAGAAACCTGATATTCAATGTCTATTTAGATGGAGTTTCAACCACAATCTCCTTACAAGAGTTAGATGTGCCAAAACTTTGTTAATATGCGGGTGAGAATTCTAAAAGCACTCAAACCTCTCCCCTGGCTTGTAAATTGAGTTTAAAACCCTCTCCTACAACTCTGATACAATATCATTTTTACAAAAGGTGATGGTAATTATAATTTGTTGATATTAATATAAATACTCTCCAATGTAGGGCGATCCGTAAATAATGCAATTTAACTAACATGAATAGTATAGGTGTGTATGATAATCTATGTTTTGTTTGCCAATTCTCAAGAGATTTTCCTATTTTAAATGTTTAAATTAGCTAAACATTTTTTACATAATATTACTTTGCACTAGTTATGACTAGAGCACACCTACTCCAGACTTCTCCTTATCAGGTACTTAATAAGTTTACTTTATAATTATTTTTCCCCATATAGCTCTGAGTACATAGTAAAAATAGAATTAGTGACAAAAATTAACTAAAATATTATTAATTGTTGTCACTAATTGTGTTTACTTTTCACATCTATGTCTACGCTCAGAAATAACTAGAATTTCAAACTGTAGAGATGCTTTAGGCGAGAGGCTTCTCTAAACAAACAAGTTACTCCACCACCATTACGACCTCTCCTTCAATGTTACGAGGTCACATAAATAACTGAAAATGAAACATTACATAAGGATGGTGCTAAAAATTATGATTAAGGTCAACATTGGAAATAATTAAGACAAAAACGAAAAGAGTACCATTTAATATTTTAATATATAGTTACATTTGTACTCTACAAAAATTAGTTTAAGTAAACAAAATAATTAAATTACACGCTTATTTCTTATAAACATATAAATAAAAGTTACAAAAGAAATATTCACAGGAATGTCTTAAAACAAAGGAATTGTTGAGTGATGGTCCACTTATAGTAGAGTACAAACAGGTTGTAGGGCAAGGAACACATGACTATTTGAGTCCACAATGAGCTCATGTACAAAACACACGACACTAGACTGTAGCTGTAGTCAATAATCTGTAGTGATTCAGTCTTACGAAGTCATCTCCGCTCTGTAACAAGAACAGTAAACTGTTAAATGGTTGTCTGCAATGCAAACAAAAGTACTGTTTTAAGCGGCATACCAGTATTTTGAAAAACACTACATATTTGTTGTATGCATGCATTCTTCAGTATAAAAAAAAAAAACTTTACATGCAATACAATTTTTAAAAGACACGTTCACTACATTAAAGTTTGAAGTCATGAGCGAAACAGAATCAACAGTTGCACTTTATGTTGGGCCATTTTTGCTTCAATACATTATAAAACATCATAATACATTACATTATAACAATAATAATTAAATTTTTCATACGTTGAAACAAAAAAATAATACTTAAATTCATTATTTGAATGTAACCCTCTACATTTAGGATATGTTAATAATAATAATAAGCAACATCTAAGCATGCATTTGCTTCTAATATTTTTATTGTGTTCATGTTCTGAGTTTTCCCAAAACAATGTAATTTTTTATAAAATTAAATACTTTTTTTGAGTTGGTAGTGTTATTCTATTATTTGTGTTTTATAAGTTAAATTGTTTTGGTAATTATGATGCTTTTAGGGTTGTTTTTGTATCAAGTTTGTGTATACAGTAGTAATTTTAATAACAATATTGTTATATTTTGAAACTGTTATTTTATATGTTATATTTGATTATTTAAAAGAAAGTGTAAACAAAACCATTTATACAATTTTAGGTCCTCATGCTCATGTTATTAAAATGGAAAGTCATGTTAAAGAAACATTAACGTGTTTAAAGAGTTAAACATAAACTAAAAGGACAATATTTTACACAAATGACGATAATGCCATAGATATAATAACAGTGGTAATGAAAAAACTTACGAAAACAATATGAAATAGTATGACTCACAAAATGCTAAAGAAGTCGGTGGGGCCGAATGCGGGCAGGGAGGGGGTATGCTCGACGAGTGAAGGGGGAGGGGCTGTGTCACCCCCCGCTTGAGAGTGCAAGATATTGAATTGGAACAGCACGTCATTGCACATGGCCATCGCGGTGTTTAGTGGCTCCTGTCGCACTTTAGAACACAACTGTTTGCGACGCTTGTACGCCTCGAGCTGACAGAACCGGCAGTTCGTCTCTGCGTACCAAGTTCTCGACCAAACAGAAACAAGTAAGTCTCCATCTCCACAGCTCCACTAACCGGAACGGTTTCCATTTTTTTACTATCTACATTTTCAAGATGGTATTGCTTCAATGCAGTTGAATGTAGCAGTCAGCGATGGAAAGGGTAGTGGCGATAAATTAGAAGAGATAATGAAATAAATGATGATATGTGGAAATCAGAAAAGAAATTAAAAGTAGGATGTAAATGAAATCTTACGTAGTAGATACAAGATGAATAGTGTCACTATTTTCAGTAAAAGACTTTAATGAGTAAGACTTGCTTTGGGTGCACTCTTATAAACATGTCTCTTATTTTTGCTTAGCATATTATATATATTCTAAATTTACATAGCTAAATGTATCATTTTGAGCATGAGGGTTATGTTTTTAGTTAATGTCCCTGTCAAGAGACAAAGTAAAATAAGATTTTTATGATCTCAGATGCAAGAGTGATTAAAACTAAAATTTGTATTGTTAAAAGTATGCGTAAAACTGTTTACATAATATACAATGAAGATCTTAAGTTTTTTTTAGTGGTAAAATTGGCTATTTTGGGGAGAAACTTTATCTTCATTACTTAAAAAGTATCTTTATGTTTGTGTATGGGAAGATTTAGGGGTATATTTATTTCAAAAGCCTCAACATAGTTAAAACAATTATACGTGCTCACGTATGCCCAACTAAAAATTAAAAAAGAAAACAAGTTTATAGCATGTTGTTTAAGAGCTAATAAAATATTTGTATCTCTATTCCATAAGTAGGCCTACACTACAACATAAAGTAACAAAGCAATAAAGTATTGCTAAACATTTCAATATTTAAAATAAAATTTAATGCATCACAAGAATTTTTAATCCATTTATAACAGAAGCAGAAACAACCAATAGCAGAAAAACATAAAGAAAGAGATTGGGTAAAACATGTACATGATATTTTTAACTTACAGCACCAACAGCCACTGACTTAACCATGCTTGAATTATTAAAGCAAAATTAAAAAAAGAAATGCAGACAGGAAACATAATTGTCTGGTATAGAATATTCTCGTATGTCACATTTAAAAAAGTATTCTTTGTAAGCTTGCTTTTTTCCCTTTGTCATGCATGTTAAGATGACAAATAGTCAGCCAATTTATTGAAATAAAAAAAAAATATTATTGGTTACAGCTTGAGGTAAAAGTAGTTTTTGACTTATATAAGAAAATGTCTTAAGACTAACTTCAAAACTAAGGCAGAAAGAAAATTAACATGAAAATGTAATGATTATGAATAAATAAAACAATATAAATAATGAAGGTAGCAAAGATGTAAATAATTTTTATACTGAAATTACTTCAATTAACAGTTATAAATATTATCACTCAAACAAATCCGATAAAGGATTATACCGTTCCGGTTAATATAAAACATGAATAATTTAAATACAGTTGAAAAGTACAGATAAAATAACAAGCACACCTCATGCAGATGTTTTTAAGCGAAGCACACAATTAGAAGTATAAAATATTTTACATATATTAGCTATTTTGTACAGGATTCATATTTAATTTATTGACTAATTAAATTTGAAAACTGATAAGTTTCCGCCAATTTTTAATATAAGAAACATGTTAACTGTGGTTCCACTTACTTGAGTGCTTTGCACCTCTCTTTTTCAACACTATTTTCAGGTGGTTCACACTCGAATGATGCTAGTGCCAGTGCTGGAAAAAATAATGTAAAATGTAATTGCAACAAATGAAAAAAAATTTAAAATAATGTCAAAGTTTCCCTGACTGCCAAAGGTTCACATGAAAACTAACTTGAGATTTCAACAGAGACAATCTATATCTTAAAAGAGGAAGCTTGAGGAAGTATGTATGTATGTACCCTATGGACTCTGAAACCGCTCGACAAATTGTAATGAAACTTTAGGGCATTATTCAAGGACTGTTCGTCTGAAGTTTGGTGCAGATCCGTCAAAAGGGCTCCGCCCCAGAGAATTTTAAGTGGTCCAATGTCAGACTTTTGGAACTACAATGTTTACAAATAAACATAATTTAAAAGCAGATGCTTACTTTCACCAAATCTCTTGGAGGTTTGAATAATCAAAACATTCTGTATCAGTCATGATTTGAAATAGTGCCACACTATTTCCACAGAATGCAGCACAGAAAACAATTTTACTTTTGGTTAAGTCCAAATATATCAAACCCCAATCACAGCACACCTGTGCACTCAACAACGTTTAAATTCTCCACTACTAAATGTAAACATAAATAATGAAAACCTTTATCAAAGTATTATAAACAACTAGCTGTAACCCGCGGGCTTTGCCCCGTTTAACTTCTTAATTTTCAAGATTATCTCGTTTTATGGCTCAATCACGTCCTGGTTGAAGTTTGTTCGCTACGCTCACTCACCTTTAGGTTGGAGCTCGTTCGCTACGCTCACTCACCTTTAGGTTGGAGCTCGTTCGCTGCGCTCACTTGCCTTCAGGTTATCTCGTTCGCTACGCTAACTCCCCTCCAGGTTGAAGTTCGTTCGCTACGCTCACTCACCTTTTGGTTGCGAATTAGCTGTTTTCATAAATGTAAAAGAAATAATAGTGCTGCACCGATTTAGTAATCCTTGTAACTTTAATGCTATTGAACATCATAGAACAGAACCAACTTGTTTAATTGAAACAGCTGTTAAGATTCAATAATTCCATTTCTCATAAGGTTAACATGGGAAACTCCAGAGCCACTGGGGCGGAGCCCGAAAGGATTTTTGAAATAAGAATATGTTAATCGGGAATGTGAGCTATCATCATGCCAAATTTCAGCCCAATCCGTCCAGTATTTTTCGCGTTCACTTGTCACAAACATACATCCATACATCCATACATCCATCCATACATCCATACATCCAAACTTTCTCATTTATAATATTAGTAGGATTAAAAAGGGATGGCAATGCCTTAATATTTTTATCTTTTGTTCTATACCCACACAATCTAACATAAATTATTAAGTTAATAATAATCAATCGTGTATGCTATCTCAGGTATTCAAATGCCTCCCAATTTGTCATTAACCCACCACATTACTGTCATTAAAAGAAGGAACTCCAATAATACTAATGTGAAACTCAAATCCACAAAGCTGTGCAACCAAACCAGACTGAAGATTAAAAAAATGACACCAAACTTGATCGAAGCAACAATCATCAGTTTAAAGGACGATATAGTCTTAATCCCAAAAATACCGATGATTTAATCTGAATTACCCTTTGAATTCAAGCGACTACAATTTCCTTTGCGTCATGCTTTCACAATCACCTTTATAATGCACAAGGGCAATCCCTGACTATGACTGGTTTAAAATTTGAAAATACATGGTTTTCACACGGACAGCTGTATATTGCGTGTCCATGTGGTGGTAGGTACACCTAAAAACTTATATATTTATACACCTGAAAAAAAAAACCTTATCCACTGGCAACAAAGTAAAATAAATATTCTATTTTTGTTTGATTTTAGTATACATTTTTATTATTTATTGTAAAGAACGAATTACTATTTAAAATAATAGTTGTTTGTGTAGCAATGCGCGTCGAGTATCTGCTAGTCCATATAAATACCAAAGTACTAAACGTACTGAAAGTACTGAAGTACTGAAGTATTGAAGTACTGAAGTAATGAACTTTTGAGAAAACTACAAGTCACACCCCAATATTGGGTCTGATGATGATTGGAGTGTCCAATTGAAATTGATCACCACTTACCATCTTTTTTGTATATTTACCGTCTTTTAAGTGTTATAAGACGTTTCTTTATTTACTTTCTATAACTTAAATGGATAAAATAAATGCCAGTTTTTGCACTAAAAATCCTCTTAAACTTGTTTTTAAAATATTCCATTTGATGTATTTCTAGCAAAGGTCCTTCTTTGAAAATCTTAGAGTAACAATAATATTTTTTATGTAGTCAGACAACTTAAGCAATGCAGTTACTCTTAAATCTTAATGTATACTATTTTACCCAGTCATTTTATCCTATTTAAATTTTAAAAGTGATACTTAAAAAATTATATCTATTTAAAAATGTAACTAATTAAGTATTTACCATTTTCTGTAAGTACAGGGCTTGCTTGCAGGAATGTAATGACTTTGGGGTTCTTCTCGAATGGACAAGTGACTTGTTTCCATGTTATGAACTCTGTCACCTGTTTTGCTAACTGCCAGAACTTCTCAAAGTTTATGTGGCCATTTGGTAACCTGAAAAATTACACCACTTGTATTTATGTGTTCATTTTTAACCTAAACAGAAGTTTGTTTAGGGTTAAAGATTACTTTTCGCAAATCCACAAAAAAAAACTGTTTTCCTAAAATATAATTGGGATTAAATAAAATTCAAGACAGTTGTGAACTTGTTTACATGTACATTTTACATAGCGTAGATGAATTATTACGTCTATAACAGTGTCAACATCTAGTCTGAATTGTTTACAAATTTACAACTTAAAAATCAATACACTACTATCATGAGTCAATTGAAATATAGATTTCAACTAAAGCAAAGCTTACTATCACAGATACATGACATTGTCTGGTCTTTATATGTATACCACTATAAAAATATATTTCCACTTTGTATGTAAATGCAATTAAAAAAATGTTATGACGATGCATGCTGTTGTTTTGAGTTTTTATATTTTATGTGACCTAAGTAATAATTTTCTCTATTTATTACATTATTTACAGCAACTACCAAACAATTTCATTTTCATAGATTCTTCGGTCCCCAAACAGCATTGACTACAAATTCCTTTCTGTTGCTTCTAATCTAGAATATTGATGTAAGCGATATTTACTTGTTAGAGCAGCCCTCGTTAAGGAAGTAAAGATCCTTGACCAGGAGGGAGAAGAAGGGTATGACAATGCGCTGGCTCTGGTCCGTGGCTCCTGCTGACCTCCACATGGCAGCCTTCAGGGTGGACCTGTAGTTGCAGAAGTTGGATGAAGGGTCCATCTGGTGTTCCAACACAGAGAACTTGGCACTCTGCACTTTGTTCCACTGTAAAGATACAAATAACTCATGAAACAGAGACTGGGACTTGTTGGAAAGATTCTATGGGGTTTGGGAGTGCAGGTGATTGCGTGTTTGGGAGTGTAATGTGATACTAGATGGTTAGAAGTGAGAGGTGATACTTAGATGGAAGATTACTTGCTAGTTAGAAGCTGGAGGCGAGACTTAAAGAGAGGACTACTTGACTACCGCTGGAAGTGTGAGTTGATACTACTTGTTGGGAGATTGTCAAATTAAGGTCTTCGGGTGACGACCGTGTTGTTGAATGATTAAGACCTGAGGCGACGTTTCAGATACGTTACAGCTATCCACCTTCGGAGCAAACTACCGTTCAACTCACTAGAGTTGAATAGTGTAGTTAACCCTGAAGATGGATAGCTGTAATGCTGTTCAGCCGTCAGCCTCTGCTGTGACTGTGAAAGCTTATCATCTAGATTACTTGTTGGGAGGATTACTCAGTTGTTGAGAGTGTGAGGTATATAATTTGGTGATAAATATCCATTAGTTATAATGTTTGTAGCCTTAAATAGATTTAGTTAGTTTGATATTAAATACAGTATTAACTAATGTAAGTTAAAGAACACAGTTTTAGGATTAACACTCAATGGTTATTATGTTAATATCAGGCTAAATCACATTTATCCTTTGTATTGATAAGTTGTGTATTTGATTTGTGTAGGTTGTATTAGTTTATATAATTAATTAAATGTGTCATACTAACCGTCTTCTTGAGCCTTGAGATGGGGGACATGTTCAGACCAGCAATGATTGCCATCAGGGAATTGAAGTTTCCAATGTTGAAGCACTCTCTTGCTGTCTCAATCCAGAACTCCACAACTCGGACCCTTTGCTTTTTCTTAGCGTGCTATGGGAAAACAATAACTGCCTAGTATTGTTTCTAATTTTATAGATGATAAATATAGGTATTATATAGATAAATATAATAACATCTTCTTAGTTAGTGAATAGGACTCAATACATGTCCAATGGTGTAAGTAAACAGCAAAACTTCGGCAGAAATACAGTAAGTACAATTAATTGTTAATAGAGCTTTTTAGATAATGCAGACCACGTAACAACAAAAACAAAAGTGAACTTTAATGTTTCAAGGTGCGTTTACATTATGACAAATCCCAAATGGGTACTGTGTTGGGAACTTTTATCTGAATGTTTAACCATGAAAACCACCGGGCACAGGTTATTTTAACTCGAAGGTAAAAATATATATGCATGAAAACAAAACTGACAAACATATACCACTTGGACCCTTAATAAATAATTTTTATTTAAATTTGGATATTAAATTGTATGGCGTGGAACATTTTTATATGTTTATAAAGTTGAATATTAATTAAAACTTCACTTAGAAGGATTATAAGCCCAAAAGGTAGACTAGTTACTTGACTACTCACCTTAACAACCTCTGTAGCAACAAAATAGCTGAGCCTGTTGAACCATGACACGTAGGACTCCAGGTTGCGGGTCTTCTTCATGTCTTTGAAGGAGGTCTCGACGTGTGGGTTGTCTTTGGCGAATGCCTGAACAAACTCCTCTGGTCCAATGAAGGAGAGACGCTCCAGTTCTATGTGGGTCAGATGTTGAGCTAACAGTGCAGCAGCCGGACAAACGTCTATCACGTCCGTCTATGAAAGGAGAAGAGTTTTAAACAGATGCCAAATAAATAAAAAATACATTCAATTTTTTAAAATACGATCCTTTTAGAATACCTTTTTAACAAGCATCTAAGGAAGAATAATATCCTCTATCATTCTCTAAAAATGCAACAACCTTTATCTACAAACAAATTCCAGAACACTCATGACTTAGAACCAACCTATAGTTATAAGTCAGAGCAACAAATAAATAAAGCATTAAACAACAGCTCTGCTAGAGAAAAATAATGTAACAATGAGTTAAACTGGATAAGATTTTCTATGGTCAAATACAGTCTAACGGCTTCTGAATTATTATTAGGTTGATAGGGGTTAATATTAAAAATAGGTTTTTATTAGAATGTAAATTTGTGAAAAAAACTCAAAATGGAATTATTTTTCTCTATATGTTGGACAGGAATTTAATGGAGCCACAACTGACCATATTCAGAGCCTCCGCGTTACTTGTTGTACTCTCAGCATTTACCCTCTGCAGGAACTCTTCATACTTCTCCAGAGCTGTGAGCCTGAAAAGTATACAAATCATATTAAACAAAAGTAAAGATATAATTGAAATAAACGAACATTTATATTTTTTTTTTATCAAAGGAGCTCAATTATACCACTATCTACAACATACATTTTTTAGACACAAGCAAATTGAATTGTTTCTGTCTGATGACAAAATTATATGATAGCTTTCCTACAATAAACAGGAAAAAATAACCAAAGTATTTATATGACAAAAAGTAATAGTAAATATTGTAATCTCAGCATTAGTTATGGTTGCAGTACATCTTATATACTACTATAGAATATAGCAGTGGTGAATAAAATACCCATTGAAAATCTAAAACTTAATAACTTATCATAATCTTTGTAACAAAAAAGAGTGACAAAAATGCCCTGGGATTGTTACATATTTAAAATAAACGGAATCAGCAATCTGACACATACTTTCTCCCATTGGCTTGTAAAAAACCTTTATCATGGGCAAGCATTGAGAGTAACTATGCTATTTTATAAGGAAAATCACAAAAGTTGCAACAACTTTTGAACCGTAACTGTTTCGTCAATGGACGGTTGAACTATTTTGTTTAGAATTATGAGGACCACAACACAATTATTTTAATCAAAACCGGCTTTTTTCTTAAAATCTGATTTTTAAAATATTTTATGGGAAAATAACATAAGTTACAATGACTTTTGGGCCGAATAAAAAAAAAAATGTATTTGTACCATTTTGCTCAGAATAAAGGAGCATAACATACTAATTTTAATTTAAAACAGGTTTTTTTAATCAGATTTTTTGTTACTTTATGGTTTTTTAATGGTAAAATAATATAAGTTTCAATAACGTTTGAACAGTAATTTTTAAGAAAATGGTATTTGTACCATTTAGTCATTGCTTATTGGTTCTAGAGGGACATAACCATACTAATAAAGAGGAGGGTAATAATGTTTTATTACTTTTGGACACAAAATGATTTGAGCAGGTTCTTTTTGAAAATTATCATAGAGGTACGTGAAACATCGAGAGGTTCATTAACTATAATGAGATCATCGATATAGTAAACATAAAATTTAATCAGTTTTTTAGCTGTAATTATTCAATGCGGTATTCAAGTGCATTTCTGTTACATATGCAACATTATTTTTTTAGGCAGATGTGTTTATTTATTATTAAATTCTGTTCTCTTTAAATTGTATTTAGAAGTATAATTCAATGTTGCAAACCCATACTGCAACAGTCAACTGATCCTAAAATAGCAGCCTTTCAAAGATTACTTGCATTTGAGATTATTACATAGTGTTGTTATTGGCAAAATAGGAAAACTCAAGCTATTTATTGATTTATTATTAAATTAAAACGAGTGCATGCTTGACTAACTAACCTATGCAGTAAGTTCTGGAGGAGTGTGGAGACTTCATGACGGACCCTGGCCTCCCCCGCAGCTCCTGCTACACTCACACAGCTCTGCGTGATGCTGCGGACATGTGCCATCACACGTTCATCACGGAAGTCATAGGGAAACGTCTCACTCCACTCAGCCATCAGCTGGACAAGGCGAGGGATGAACCTGCTCAGTCGATCCTGCAACAGACGCACCACAACAGGTACTCAGTGTAAGAAGTAAGGTTGTGCATATATAACAGCTTTAACAGGTTGGGTTTACCATAAACTTTCCAATACTTCCTTGTACACAAACTTTGGACTTCATAATTGTTGATCAAAATAAAGTATATTTTGAAATAGCTTAAATTTTAGGCACTCTTAAAATAGTTATATAAGCTTATATAACTTTTGATACTAAGGATCTATAATGGCACCTGAAAACTTAAACTTAGGCAAAATATGCCTTCACCCGGATTATATCTTAAGTTTTTTAGTATGTTGGTTTTAACATAAAACTCTTCTTGTTTTCCTTTTATTTTAATATAAACCATCCCTGTATATAGGTACAGTATTTGTTATTAGCTATTACCGTCTCTCTGGGTTTGCAGCTCTTTACATACTCAAAAGAAACAGAGCAATTCCACATACAAAACCCTTTCATCAAGAATGTAAAATAACATTGAGAAACAGAGATGAGTTATTTATAAGATTGTCTGGTGTAAATGAATGTAGGAGCAGAATAATTTATCTAACGTTGTAATACTTGTTGATTTTTTTTCTGTAATACTTTAAATCTCTTCTGCAAAGTATCCAAGTGTTGTAAAATCTCCCTCTATTTTTCTCTGTCAGTAAAACAGCTTTAAAATGAAATTCCAACTGCAGCTGCGCGCCGAGGAACAAAACAGAGTAATGGAGAACAATTTGTGGAGTGGAACATTATACGGGCTGACAAACTGCGTGTCTAATGAAAACTCAGTTAGTTCAGTGTCGGTAATAAAAATTGAAAAACGAGACGGAGTATTTGTGAGATAATTGGTATTTATCATTATATTGGTAGATAATGCTATACTGTATATCAGAGTAAGTTTCTAAATACTTTGCAGGTTCAAGATCATTATCCACTCCTCCACGGGAAACAAGAATAATAAGAATAATTACATTTTAGTCTGATAACGGTCTGCATATTATACAAATACACAATGGCTGAAACTATATTAATTTAATATTTAGATTAAGTGTACTTATCTAGAGATACACTTCATTATTTAGTGAAACTATGAATTATTAGTTTTTTAACCGTTTAAATATGCTAAAATCAACGGTTTTATGAGTACATTTTATGTTTAACGATGCAGAAATACAGCAAGTTATTTGTACAATATGTTTTCAGTGAGTTGAATTTTATGGACCTATATACAACTTATTTTGAAATAAAACTTAAAAAGCAATGCATTAACCTGATTTAGGTTACCATAAACTGGAGTAATACTGTATGAACTCCTATAAAACTGCGGTTGGCTGAATACTCGCTTAGGAAACTCCGATAAAAATACAGCAATGCCAAACTTTCCGCCCCAATAGTTCAGCTAGTGTTTTGGTGTTCTTGTTTACTCAATAATGCGGTAAAAAGTCAACGGGATTGATGCAAAGAGCAGTAACAGCAGCTGACAAACTTGCTGTCTGATGAAAGCCGTGTTAATCAAGAGTTGGCAATAAAACGGGCAGATCAAATTAAACAGATGCGAGGAGAATGGTAATTAACCGCAGGGCCTGCTTTGACCTCTGTGTAGTGCTGGTTGATACATTGTAATACTTCACTGGCATGGCATATAAATACATTATACTGATTATAAAACTCTTTGTAAAACGATAAGCATTTACATTCAATCATTGATTGGTATTAATTAAAAACTAGGAAAAATTAATTACACAAAAATATCAGATACAAATGAACTCCTAATGAAAGATAAAGTTTTAAAGAAGAAAAAATGTTGATTAGTTACTTAAACTTCTATATTTTTTTTAAATAGGTATTTTCATTTATTTAAATTAACAACCAACAATTTTATCATACGTGCCAACCTCAATGGCAAGTTTAGTTGGATGGTTTAAAGTTTGTATTCCCTGTTTTCCATATTGGCCTTGCTATTTCATATACAAGATTACTACCTCTGACTGACCTCACAACGATGTACGTGAAAACTACCATGCAAAGACAACAGTAAGCTAAATTTTGCAGTATAAGAACAAAAAGTCTTACTTAAAGCTTAATGTGGATTTTTAGATACAACAAAATACATTGGAACCACATTTCCAAAACAAGTTAAGTTCTTTGTGGTAGATTTGTACTTGTTGTAAATCATAAATAAGAAAACACCTATTCGGTTTGTAGTTCGTGTTTGCCAGTGACGATTTGCCAAACCTATAAACTTGTAACATAGCAATGGATAGCTATGAATACCAACACTATGTATTACCTTGGAAGGGCAGGGTTTATCGGAGAGTTTCTGCTGGGAGTCACACAAGGCAATGACTCTGCCAAGCAGCTCATGGGGTTTGATGAAGAGACGGGAGCTGAGAAGGAAGGCGAAGAGGTAGGCTCTGTCAGGGTAATAGTCTGTGGTGGGAACCATGTGTTGGATGAGGGCATCTAGAGAGCCGGAGACTAGGTTGCCATCACGATATACCAGGGCCTGTAAACAATTGTATAGTTACACCATCCACTTTTGAATACGGTACATGAATAAACATTCCATATAAACTTGATATAACAAATCATTGGTCAAAATAAAAATAAAGGCCTCGCACAGAGTATGCTGAAGCCCAAACTACAGGTTTAATGAGATGGATAGTGAGACTTATAACACAAGAGGTCCCACATCAATTTGCCTTTTAGTTTGGAGTAGTTCAAAGTTGTTAATAATCTGTATAGTCAGCATAATACGAGGTAAGCTCAATTTTACCACTTCAATTTCTGTTCTTATAATGTCTCCAACTTTAACGAGGAAATGGAAAGTTTACTCTAATCTTAGACAACAGTCATACACCAAAGCACCGAGGGATTGTAGGCAAAGGCAGAGACAATCTATTGGAATAGGACATTTGGTTAGCGTAACATTATTTAGGTAACTAAATAATATATACTTAATTCGGTGGTAAATTCAATAGTCTTACAATAGGAAATAATTATAATTTGTTACATCCGGAAGACTTTAAGTAGAGGAAGTCTATAAAATAAGTGGTTTTCTTCTATGAGCAGAAGGCCGAGAGCTAGGATCTGGGGCTCGTATGAGTAAAATCTATGATCACACAGTGTGCAGCTCAGCAGGAGCACACATTACCACCAGTGGCTACATCGCCCTAATGCTACCAAACACGACAATATCACAACCACTATAACACTGGCTAAATAATGTCACCTAACTTATATTAAAACAAAGATATTAAAAAACCAACAAAGTTGTCTAGAATGGTTATATTATTTGTTTGGAGAGTTTTGTTTTAATATATACAATTTACTTTTATAACTTGTTGCAATACATAAATAATTACGAAAATCTAAAGCAGTTTTAATTTTCTTGACTTCATTTTATTATGAACATGCTTATATTTAAATGACGTCAGTCAACCTATGATTTAGATTATTAATTGATTACGATTATGTAGGCAGAATAAGAGTCCTCAGTACGATGGTATATTTGCTAACATGAAAAAAGACAAAATCCGACTTTTGGGGGAAGTTTTATAATATGCAATAAGGATTGAACAGTAGCCTACCAACCCTGGCTTAGTGGCCGTTGATTTTTTACACAGCAATTTTAGGTCGTAATACAAGTAAACATGGCTGAACTTTATCACCTCCTTCCCTTAAAGATTTAACTATCATGATGTACTGTATTTGACTGATAAAACAAAGGGATACTATTATGTAGTTCCAACAAAGAAAAATGCACCCGCCATCTCTTGAGCATAATAAAGTTAATAAGATGGTATTAATTACAGTGTTAGCAAAACGGGAGTGCCGATGGAGACCAGGTCAAATCCCTTCAAACGCACGCATCCCTACAGGTCTCCATCGGCACTCCCGTTTTGCTACCACTATAATATAATAGTTATTTCGATTCACAAAACAGATTAAATGGTTTAAAACATCGGAAATTCTTTTAAACATAAACGTTGTACAGTACGACCTATTGTGGACAACTATTATTTTTTAAGAAACTACAAATAAAGCGTAATTTAAATAAATTCCAAAGCATGAAGAGGGTCCCCCCAAAATGCTGTAATGAATACAAACAACCGTAGGAATCTTATACAACAGTAGTTTTTAGTAGAATACTCACATTGTCAGGATCGGCCGCGGGCTCAGGGTTGGGGTCGAGGTCCGCGGACCCTCCGTTCGTCACGCCGCCCTGCACTGTTGTCTGGGGCAAACTCTGCAACACAAACAGTAATATCACGACATTGAACATAACACAATAAAGACTATATACTGCCCTCCATCGTCGTTTGGGACAAACTCTGCAACACAAACAGTGATATCACGACATTGAACATAACACAATAAAGACTATATACTGCCCTGCACCGTTGTCTGGGACAAACTCTGCAGCACAAACAGTGATATCACGACATTGAACATAACACAATAAAGACTATATACTGCCCTCCATCGTCGTTTGGGACAAACTCTGCAACACAAACAGTGATATCACGACATTGAACATAACACAATAAAGACTATATACTGCCCTCCATCGTCGTTTGGGACCAACTCTGCAACACAAACAGTGATATCACGACATTGAACATAACACAATAAAGACTATATACTGCCCTCCATCGTCGTCTGGGACAAACACTGCAGCACAAACAGTGATATCATGACATTGAACATCACACAATAAAGACTATATACTGCCCTCCATCGTCGTCTGGGACAAACTCTGCAGCACAAACAGTGATATCACGACATTGAACATCACACAATAAAGACTAAATACAGCCCTGCACCGTCGTATGGGGCAAACTCTACAACACAAACAGTGATATCACGACATTGAACATCACACAATAAAGACTATATACAGCCCTGCACTGTTGTCTGGGACAAACTCTACAACACAAACAGTGATATCACGACATTGAAGATCCTACAATAAAGACTATATACAGCCCTGCACTGTTGTCTGGGGCAAACTCTGTGAAACAAACAATTAGATCAATTAATCAGTGTTGAAACTGGGAATACCACACAAATGATGTTACATAATTGAACATCACACAATACAGATATAAGTTACTGCATGGCCCCGTTGTCCGGGGTAAATGCTGCAACACAAACAAAAATATCAAAGGATTGAGCATCCAATAGCTAATACACAATTTAATGCAAAGAACACACAGCCCACAGAACTAGCATTTTTAATAAAAACATTTTTTTATTTGTCCACTCTATGTGCTGTGGCGTTGACATATTTGATTTCGTTTATATCATATTTTAAACACATAAAACAACTGAGAGCTTATTTCAGTAAATGTAAACTAAATCGTCGAGATAAGGGTAACAATGGCAGTGATATGGCAGGTAGCGCTGCTATTGCAAATGATGCTATCTTCATGATAAATGGGTCCATAGCTCATCGAGCCACGGGGCGTCTGCGTCTTACGTCCGACTGTGGTTGGGTTTGATTGGCGACATTTATACCATGTCTTCGTTCATGTTGAGTTGATTCCAATTGCTGTGGTGTAACAAAAAAAATATTTGGCACCAATATTCAAAATTGTAGTAATGTGTATTAAAAAAAAGTAGCCCTGACCTATTGAATAATTTTCTTTCAAATTGGAAATCGACGATTAAAAATTAATTTTTATTCTTATAGACAATAGGTAAAATTCACTCTTATCGTGGCTGATGTATGAAAGTAGATTTTAGCCAGACAGTATTGATTTTCATACTTATGTTATTCTGTAATAACTAATCTTGACTAATTTCAACGCGGATAAACGCCAAAACTTAACCAATATTGATTGCTCTGTTATTTTGTAGGCCTAAGATTTAATTTTAAAGATGATCCTTATTTCAGTTGTCTCTTCATATCTCGTGTGTATCTATCCTAATTTATTTGATATTTTACGAAATTGAAAAAGTAAAAGCAAACAATAATGACTTGTTAGGTTGAACAATATTTTGAAAGAGTAAAGAGCTTATTTTATTTGGATTCATATCAAGTGTTTGGGAAGAACTGTAAGAATAGTAAGGGAAGAATGAGTGATTTAATGTGTCGAGGAATGAATGGGTTCCAAAAGCAGCCATCAGCAACGCAATAAAGCTGCTACAATGGTACAATATGACAGGTGAGCGCTTAACAGCCGATGTTGCAAATGATCTTATCTGCTTGATGAACGGCATCGTCCTTCTTCCAGACAATAGTTCTCTTGTATTCACTCTATATTATTTTACTTGCGTCGTTTGGAGGGAAAATGTTTCAATCCGTTCTTAAACCGTTATACATATAATGCATGTAACAAAATAACGAAGATCGTATTAATTAAATACTGGGTAACATGAACACATTTTAAGTATTCAAAAGATAAAAATCTCGCATGGATTTATCTCGCCACTTTTAATATTTTGAGGATGAGCATACAAAGAACAATGTAACATACACACCACTCCTCACTAATCATACTGAATACAACTATAGTACTTGATGATAACATTTTACTATAATGTATTTTGAATCTCTAAAAAACTAATAAAATGTCAATTACCGATGTTATAACACCTCAGTTCATAACAATACTTCAACGTTGAACTTAAACCACATTCATTATTTAATCAGATAAATTTCATACTATCGTAATATAAATATACATCCACCACCATTTACAACAAGTAACAATGTAGTTTTATTACTTGTAAAATGGTGTAAACTGCCCTCAATAAATGAAAAACAAAAATAAAATTATTACAAAATACCATAAACTCCCCCAAAAAAACCCCCTTTTTTGTAAAATGTACCCTGACGCTCTATTATGACCCTATGAAATTGGCAAAACCAAATGTATATATACAAGCGTTATTGTAGTATGGTGGAAACAATGCGATGGGACGTGTTTACAAGCCAAGAAGTACATGACATAAATAGTCACCGGAAGAGGCAGTATTTTCCGACAGGAGTTATGGCCTGGAATGGAGCCAGGCGGTGTTCACCCGTTGTTTTGCAAACCAAAAACGTGCAATATCTCGCCAATTGTTTTCATTCCGAAGACTAATATGCTTAATATTCTAGGTACTTACATACACTTTGCGGTGAAAACTTTGCTCAGGACATCGTTGAAGGGTTTGTTATGCTGTGGGTTCAGAAGAGATGACAACATCTAAACGCGTCAGTAAAAAAGTAACACTTACCCACCTTCTTTCTGGCGGCCCTAGGGAAGGTATTGGCGAACCTAACACGATGTCGAGACGCATCGGGCGCTGAAGGCACGGCGGCGGCGACGACGGAGGCGGAGGTGGAGGTGGCGTCGGAGACGACTTGGGAGACGGTCTGCAGGGTCGGCACTCTAGGAGGCGGCACCGGCTGTGGACGACGACAGCAGGATCCCACCCCGGCACGGATGGTGGAGTAGGGGGCGGGCTCGACGATACAGACGGCCGTGGACGTTGACGTGGAAGGCACTGGAGAGGACGACGACGGGACTGGCGGTCTGAGAGGCTCCTGGGGCTGTCGACGATGGACGCACTCCAGGGAGGACCGAGGCGAGTCCTTCTCCTCCCACCGGTAACAGACAGCCGACGAGAGCCGACTGGCGAAGAAGTACATCGCCATGCGTACATTTAAACAGCTGTTCTAGGCGGCGCGGGAGAAACGACATGCCAGTGGCTAGCTAGCTGACCGCCATACACAGTCTCCTCTACAATACAATACAAGTGTCAACGGGTCACACTCACACTACTAATGGACATGATCACTGGTTCACTAAGACACGCCTCAACAATCACAATCGCACACAGGAACAAGGAGTCCTCATAGGCAGAGAACATTAATGTCAGTGGCACAATTCATTTCTGGAACGGTAATAAATAAGTAATAACTTGCGTTCTCATTTAAAATAAGTATAATTTAAAATGATTGATTTTACGCAATACATTTAACGGTTTGTATAAAGCGGGCTAAACAAATATAGGCATACATTTTTAAAATTGACATACATTTTTTAATGAAATCAAACATCAATGATAAAAGGACTTTTTATATAAAAAAAGTTTTAAAATACTCGATGAAATTGTGTTGTATTTAGCTAGTAGTTGGAAATTCCCGAAAATATGTATGTAGTAAGATTAACTGGTTCTTAAGACAATAATTATTTATGAAGCTAGTGTGCGAAGTGGCACTTCGTGCTCGCATTACACATTATATTTTTCCGACAGTTACTATAAAGCAAATAAGCAATTAGTCATTCAAACTCTAAACATCGCGTTTCAGGCTAGGTTAAATCCTACCGTTGAACGAAAATATAATGTTAAGACGGAACAATAAGTAGTAGCTTAGTATCAAAATTCAAAATTCTGCGAAACACTGCACCAGTCGATTGTAAATTAACGTAAAAAATAGTTAGATATCTCTAAGTGTTGTCAAATTATTTCCAAGAGTTCACGTATTACGTTTAGCACACTGTTTTGTGTGGTTTGGTTGGAATACTGGAGTGCAGCAAAATAAGTAAATGCAGCAACAGTATTAGTTACTTTGCGTGCTTTAATTAGTTCAAGGGGTCCTGCATTGTCAGGTAACTGTAGGGAAAAAATATTAATTTCATTTGACCGTGTTTTTAAGTCATATGTTTTATTCAAATTTAATGAGGGTGGTGAACCAAAAATGCGTTTCTCGGTAGACAAAAAGTATAAGTCAATAGAAAGAAGAGGCTGACAAACAAATGTACCTTTTACGACGCCGAGATCTCGTTATACAACGTCCAATTACGACACAATGATTACAGAACGCTGAGGATATAAAAACTCTGCCCTCAGTCTTTATTTGCTGCCTTATTTTCCTCGAGAGAGACATTATTAAGGTAAAATACGTTTCTGCAATAACATTGGAATGGTGTTGCCGAATTACTTAGTCGTTCGCCCTCCGATTTCTCCAGATATTGGGTCGGTTTATTCTTCGTAGTTATTGTTGGAGAGGTTATTGGTTCATTAGTTTAACTTATGAAGCATTTGTGTTATTGGCACTTCCACTGAGTACATACGTTACCACGAATTAATAAAATAATACGTATGCTCAGTGTTTATCCATTTAATAGTAATAAAATACGTTTAAAACTCAAATTCTAAGCTTCAATATCTCTTCAATTTATAAGTACGATTAATCCTACCCTTAGGCCATGGTGTATAATTTTATAATTCTAAATAATGTTTCAAAATATGTAGCAATAAAGAACGTAATTGAACGTTTGCCGGCTCGACAAAGTGATTAAACAAACTAGTTTAAGAATAAGGGATGTATAATAATATGGTAATTTAAACGAATAAATAATTACCACACAAATTCATGATTACTAACCATCCATCTGTTATAACATAACTAATGTAATGATAATCTGAGTCGTATAGAAACTATTACTGAAGTACTGGGAAGTTACAAAGTAAAGCGGTCCTATTTGAGAGAGATAATTAATTGCAAGATGTTACAAAAGACAAGGGAGTGAGAGCAGAGAAGAGCCTCCAGTTAAATTAATTAAGTCAGACATGTGGGAAGAGATACACTAGTCTATCGATTGCCAAGTCGGTAGCGGCAACTGCTGTACTGCTAACTGTTGTAGATTACCTTCGACACCAACTTGTTTTCACACTTCTTACTCATTTCGTTTTGCAAAGATTGAGGAATGATCGAGTTTCATTTCTACAACGTTTCCTTCCTTGGAACTTTAGTATAACGATAATTTCTGACTTGCTATAACTAGACCGGAGTGAGTGTTAGTATATTATTATGTTTTAAAAGTATACAAAATACGGATCTAATTTGAAAACCCAGAAAAATACTAAAATGTTTTATATCGTCCTTATTTTTTTTTTTATTATATGCGTCGTCAATATTAATGGAAGATAAACACACTTTTTCATTTCCTTGAATTTCATTATTAAACAGATAGATATACTTGTATAAACGTAGGATAGCAGTGAAACCCGGCGTTGTCAGGGTCAAAATGCAATGTACAATATTAGTTATAAAAACTAATTTTGAAACAATAATTGCATCGTCGTGTATTTTGGTAGAACATGTTATGAACTAGGTATCACTCCGTTCATAGTTAATTTGGCTTCTAATTATGATTACCCAAAAATGAAATCATACAACTGTAAAATATGAAAATTCTCTCAAAACATCACGAAACAAAATAATCCTCATTCGAATAACGAGACAAAGCTATTCGGTATCGCGGATCCAGTTGCAATCGATTCCTTCAAAGTGAGTGTTAGCTTGAATAAATAACCGAGTATTTTACGTGGACAAGATTAGCTTGGCTCTAACCCCGACCCCCTGTACTTCAGGGATTGGTAATGTATTAAAACTGTTCAGGTATCCTTGCCAGGATTCAAATAGGGATATGGGGGTGCATTAGGGCTTCAGTACAAAAGTACCATCTACATGAAATACCTAGATATTAAATATAGTAAAAATGCGAGAAGCAAGCTGGTCTAGAGGTAGTGGTGGGAGCTTCGGTCTCCGAGGACCCTGGTTTGAATCCCACCAATCAATAGTGGTCCTAACTATTTAGTAATGCCGAACATCTAAAGTTAGTCCAACTATATGGATACGACGGTTCCGGGTAGAACCTAGTGTCCTAGGGCGTGAGGGGAGGACTTTGGTTATAAATGTATGTGATAGCCGTCGTATATTATACCGAACATGTTTTCACGTCGACAAATGCTGTAATTTAGCGGCTTCAAAAAGAATGTGTGAATGTAACAAGATCTTCTCTGATATATTGCCTGAAGAGACAGGAATCTTGAAGGGAAAGAGGTTTCCTTGTCTCTGTGCTACTTTGACGACTCAAATGTTATGTATCACATATCAGGGTTTTTACAAAACTTTTATTCTTCTGAGATATTTTTAATACTAGACGATTGAATCCTTACAAACGAAGCTGTAAAGAATAATGTTCCAGTATTAACAGTAACCTATAATATATTCCACTTTTCAAATAATAAGGTTAGTAAAATAATAACGTAATTAATAAGATAAATCATAACATAAAATGTCATAAAAAACCGGTGAGCGAATAATTAATCTTCATCAATAAACAAAGTTTGTCCGTAATAAACTTTGAATATTAATCTGTTTAATACAGCATTACGCACGGACAAGTTTAATAAACGAGCTCGATTTAACAATTTCCCAACAATGTGCTATTGACAAATCACATCCAGCGGTGTTTTAATCCGTTGCAAATTACGGAGATAGTGTTACTGGCCAATTAAAAGGTATTGGTTTGGCAGATAACAGGGTTTTAATTATACTGCGAAAATCCCATTTGATCTTAAATAAATTTAATTATGTTTTTATGATTTCCAATCGTAAGTATAGTTATCACCAATGTAGTCATTTTGCATACACAGTGGGATAACTATGTTAACTGTGTATTAGCAGTACTGAAGTAGTTATTACTTTCCTTTGAACATAGACGTATAACCCTCATCAGTATTTACATAAATGTGTTTACAAACTACAAACAAAAATAAACAACAACCAAGCAATAAAACTTCCTGTAAAAATTATCTTATACAGGGTGATTGATATAAGTGTGCCAGCCGTTTTATTCGAAAACCATAAGTGATATAAAAAAAAAGTTAAAAGGTAAGTGCCTTGGATTTTTTATTTTAAAAAATTTAGTAAAGACGAAAAAAATATTTTGGCCACCATTTTTCCAATATGGCCGCCACCTTTGATTTTTCTTATGGAACACCATATATTTTATGATGTATTCCGGTAGAAAATGTAATTTTAAGACGATTTTATTCTTGTAATTATTTTCATAAACCTAACCGTTTCAAAGATAATAATGGTTTAAGTTGTGAAATTTCGAATAGTCTTCAAATAAAACAGCTGGAATGCTTGCTTAGGCCTTTATCGAAACTCTTTCTCATGCCAAAATTTCAAAACTTCAAACATTATTATCTTTGAAACGGTTAGGTTTATGAAAAAATCACAAGAATAAAATCGTCTTAAAATTACATTTCCTACCAAAATACATCATAAAATACAGGAGGTTCCATAAGAAAAATCAATGTTGGCGGCCATATTGGAAAAATTGCGGCTAAAATAATTTTTTTTGACTTGATTAAAATTTTTTAATAAACAATCCAAGGCACTTACCATTTAACTTTTTTTGATATCTCTCATAGTTTTCGAATAAAACGGCTCCAATCTTCAATAACCCCCTCCGCCTTAACTTTTAACCATTTGAGATATTTGTAATTAGTGTGCAGCGACCTTCTTAGATATGACGAGGCCACAATGATGATGGTTGATTTTGAAAATTTTGCTCTGTGGTAGTGGGAGCATGGGTTGGCTCAACATTTTTAAATGGGAAGAAGGCCTATAGACAAGTTTGGTATCACTTTAAAGGTCTTGACGAAACCGATTGGCATAAAGAAAATAAAGATCGGCTTACTAATAACAATACAGTATATATATTGTGGTGTAGACGACAGACGTAAATGAGTGTGGATGTTGAGGAGGGGAGGGGGGTTTGGTGTAACCGTGTGGCAGTCTGACGCACGGTTGTGGGGAATGTTTGTAGTTTATTGTGAAAGATATGTTGTGGTTTAAAACGATATGTGTATTGTGGAGTAGAACTATATATGTGTAGATGAGGGGGGGGGGTATGGTAAAATATTGTGGTAGTCTGACGCACGGTTGTGGGGAATGTTTGTCGTTTATTGTGATAGATATGTTGTGGTGTAGAACTATATGTGTATTGTGGAGTAGAACTATATATGTGTAGATGAGGGGGGGGGGTATGGTAAAATATTGTGGTAGTCTGACGCACGGTTGTGGGGAA